ACAGACTGGGATTATTGGGGTGTCCTGTGCAGGGCCAGGAGTTGGACTGGATAATCCTTGGAGGTCTCTCCCAACGCAGGATATTCCATAATCTGTGACTGTGTGGCATTAAGGGATGCCACCCCTCAGGGTTCAGGATGGTGCTGGGGGAGGTGATGGACCACGTGGGACGGCCCTACAGGGCGTCTGTGCCTCGGTGTCACCGTTTCCCCCCCGGGCTGAGGCCGGATCCCGTGTGTGTCCCGCAGATCTGTTCTTCCCTGGCGCATCCAAGCAGCCCTTCATGCACCTGCAGCCCGGCGTGAGCCACCCCAGCATCTACATCGACACCAACGGGCAGCCCTCGGCCCTGCCGGACGTGGAGGGCTCGGCCGCGCCGCGGCTGCCGGGACAGAGCCCTGACCCCGCCGGCGGCACCGACTACGGCCGTGGAGAGGGGCAGGGCAGCTCTGGTACGTGGGAACGGGGAGGTGTGCTGGGAGTGGGGTTTGTGTGGAGATCCTCTGGGTTGAGGTTTGCTGGGTCCAGGTGGAGGTCCGCTGGGAGAATCTGGATGGAGTTTTGCTGGGAGTGGGGTTTGGTTGGAGATCCACTGGGATCTGTGTGTCAGTGAGGGCCCAGGGGCTGGGCCAGCGCTGGGTCTCACCAGAGGTTTCCTCTTCTCTTCCAGCCGAGTCGGGGCCGGAGCTGCGCACTCCAGACGTGTCGGCCATCTCCCCATCCCTGCGGAACGAGTCCCTGGTCTCCTACGCCTCCATGTCGGAGGAGGAGGAACGGGAAGGCCGGGAGGTGGAGCGTGGCCACGGCGGGGCCGCGGGGATGCAGCCGGGGCCCGAGGCCCCCATGTCTGCGGAGGAGGACATGAAGCTGTCCCGCCAGGCCATGCTGATCCGCCGCTGCAGCTCCCAGGGCTCCGTCACCTCCCTGCCCGAGGACTCCCTGAACCCCGCGGACGCTCACTCGGACTGGGGGCACGAGGGGGTGTCCGACCTGCCCGCCCTGGGCCGCGGGATGGACTCGGCACATCCCGAGGAGCAGGCGGGGGGCCCGGGCCCGGAGATGGGCACCTTGCCCAGGGTACTGATGGGGCCCACCTGGGAGAAGGCCCCGGCGGACGAGGAGCCCCCGGCCCGTTCCCCGCTCCACGGCGCCCTGACCGAGGAGTCCCTGCCCTCCTCCGCCTCCCCCCCAGGAGACGCCCCGGCCGCCCCCGGCCCCCCGCGCGGGCTGGGCTGCTCCCGGCTGCGCGAGGAGCGCCGGGACAGCTGGAGGACTAGCATCCATCACCTGCTCGACCTGGAGGAGCAGTGGGACCAGCTGTACCACCAGGAGCTGGCCATGTGGCAGGAGGAGCGGGCCACCCAGCGCGAGGAGCGGGCGCGCGACCGGGAGCTGCAGTTCCGCCTGCTCGGCGTCCTCACGGACATCCGGGACGAGCTGCGCTACCTGCGCCAGGAGCGCGCCGGCGCCCGCCAGAGCCCGGCGCCGCCGCCGCCGCCACCGCCGCCCCCCGAGCCCCGCCGCGACCCCAGCCCGCTCCTCGAGCAGCCCAAAGTCGAGCCCGGCTTCCCGGAGCCACCGAGCGAGAGCGCCGCGTGGGCCGACGCCGCCGTGCCCAGCCGGAGCCCCTTCAGCGGCCGCGGCCGGGGCCGGCGCCGAGGGCGGCCGCGCGGCTCCGCTTCCCGACACAGACGCCTGTTCCTCACCAACAGCTAGGGACGGGCCGAGCGCCGGCCCGCCAAGGACACGGTGTGCCCGCGGCCCACGGGGCACGGCGCGTGCGGGCGCTGCCCCGCGCGAGGGCCCCGCCGCCCCCGCGGGCAGGTACGGGGGGACGCGGGTGGCGGCCGGCGCCGCGTGCTCGGGGAGCACCGGGCACGTGTCCCCGCACGCGTGTTCGGGCGTTGTGAGCGCCCCGAGGTCGCGCCGAGCCCGCGGGGGACACGTGTGTGGACACGTGACGCCCGTAGTCGAGTAGGATTTACTACCTTTCGGGGGGTGGGGAGTTTAGGAACACTTAGTCGCTGACGTGCGAACATTTTATGCAAATCATTTAATGAACTAATTTGCATATAACCATAAAACTTCTGTTAAAAAAAAAAAAGCCTCCCAAAAAAAAAAAAAAAAACAAAACAAACAGAAAAGACGGGGTTTTTTTTTTTTTTCACGTGTGGTCTCTGTGTGGGGGCTGGAGCTGGGCCGGGGGGTGGTTTGTCCCATGGCCCTGCCTGGTGCAGCCCTGAACAGGGACAGGGACGTGGGACAAATGACTTTGGTGGCACTGAGCTTCACCTCACTGCTGTGGGGGAGCCCAGCACTTGGGATCAGGCCTGAGGCAGCAGGATCTGGGCTTGGAACTGGGAGCTTTGTCTGCCTGTATGGACCTGGCGAGGGATGATGGTGTGTACAGCTTAGGGGGGAGGTTGCAGGGGCAGTGTGGAAGGTCCCCAGGAGTGTTTGGGGTCTCCAGGCAATGTGGAGAGTCCTCAGGTGTGTTTAAGGTCCCCAGAAGTGTTTGACGTCCCCAGGCAGTGAGGATAGGAATGTTTGGGGTCTTCAGCAGTGTTTAGGGTCCCCAGGGACTGTTTGGGGTCCCCAGCAGTGTTTAGGGTCCCCAGAGACTGTTTGGGGTCCCCAGCAGTGTTAGGGGTGCCCAGGTAGTGTTTGGGGTCCCCAGTAGTGTGCAGTAGTCCCAGGCAGCCTGCCAGGTCCCCAGGAGTGTGCAGTGTCCCCAGGGAGTTGTCCAAGGTTCCCAGCAGTGTTTGGGGTGCTCAGGCAGTGTAGAGGGTCCCTGGCATCGTGTAAAGACCTCTGGGCAATGTGCAGTGTCCCCAGGGAGTGTCCAAGGTCCCCAGCAGCATGTGGGGTCCCTGAGCATTGTGCAGTGTCCCCCTGCAGTGTGCAGTGACCCCGGGCACTGTGGAGGGTCCCTGGCATCATGCAAGGTCCCCTGGGCAGTGTGCAGGGTCCCCAGAGAATGTCTGAGACCCCCACCAGTGTTCCCAGGAGCGTGCAGTGTCCCCATGGATTGTGCAGTGGCCCCTTGGACAAAGTGAAGTGTCCCAAGGGAGTGTCTGAGATGTCCAGCAGTGAGTGGGGTCCTCAGACACTGTGCAAGGTGCCCAGGGCATGTGCAGGGGCCCTTTGGCAGCATGTTTGGTCCCCAGGGAACGTGCAGTGTCCCCCCAGCAGTGTGTAGGGTCTCCAGAAATGTGCAGTGTCCCCAAGCATTGTGCAGGGTCCCCAGCAGTGTCCAGGGTTCCCAGGGGATGTACAAGGTCCCCAGGAATGTGCAGTGTCCCTCAGCAGTGTGCAGGGTCCCTGGCATCAGGCAGGGCCCCTGGGCAGTGTGCAGTGTCCTCCAGCAGCACCCAAAGTCCCCAAGGGTTGTGCAGTGTCCCCAACAACATACAGTGTCCTCTGCAGTGGGCACTGTCCCCCAGCAGTGTGCAGTGTCCCCAAGGATTGTGCAGTGTCCCCAGGGCACCCCAGCCTCACACCCTGTGCCCCTGCCCTCTCCAACCCCAGCCCAAATCGGGGTGACAGCACCACTGAACCCCGAGCCCCTCCTCTGCTGTGTCCCCTCCTCTACCCCCCCAGCACATGGGGACACCCCAAGTGCCACCTCCTGCTCGCTGGCAGCTCCTGCCCCACCCACCCCTGGGGTGGGGCAGGTGGTTGCAGCCCCTGAGGAGGGGACAGGGGGCAGCAGGAGCTGTGGCACTTGCTGGGTCACCCAGCCCTGGTTGGGGCCTCCCAGGGGGACAGGGACACCCAGCTCAGGGACCAGGGGGTGCCTGGGGCAGGGCCATGGCTTCCCATGGCTGCAGTGAAAAAATTGGGTGAAATATCCCCAAATCAAAGGTAGGAGGGACCTGGGGACAGGGCACTGACAGGGGACAGGAGAGACGTGGGGATGGGTCGGGGATGGAGGAGAGAAGTCGGGGTTCAGCCAATTCATGTGATTTGCAGAGGGGTTTAGGGGTGCAGGGAGGTGGATCCTGGGCACATGCCCCGGGGAGACCTTGGGGGCAGCCCAAGAGCCTCAGGAAAGGCAGGAAAAATGAGAAATGTTGGGAAGTGGAGATGCAGGAAAGGGTTTGAGAAGCAGGGGGCTGTGGGTTTGAGAGTGTTCAGGTGCACTGGGAGACTCGGGACACGCTCAGCTCCAGGGAGCTCGACACACCAGGGCTGGGGTGTGAATGTGTGTGAGCACACACAGACACGTGTGAGCACACAGACATGTGTGAGCACACACAGGCACGTGTCAGCACACACAGACACATGTGAGAGCATATACAGATATGTGTGTGAGCACACACAGATAACACAGGTGTGAGCACACACAGACGTGTGAACATAGACACGTGAGCACACAGGGATGTGTGCACACATACACACTGCACACACAGACACACACATGTGAGCACACACAGACACACACGTGTGCATACACTCCCTAGAGCAGCATTCCCTGTCCTTCCCTTCCCTGTCACCCATGGGTGAGGTATCTCCCTGCCCTGGGGGAGTCCACACAGCCCCACCTCAGCCGGTCACACGGGGACACCCAGCAGCCCCCACACCCCCAGCTCCACCATTCCCACACGTCCCACCACGATATTCCCCCTTCCCCATCCTGCTGCCGCTGCCTTCCCGGGGTGCAGGACCCCCCGGGCGGGGCAGGAGTGGCCGCAGACCCCGGGGGACCCCGCGGGGTTTGGGGTGAAGGCGCTGCAGCCCAGCACGACTTTATTCCGGATCGCTTCGTCCATACAAAACTACACCCCAAGCACTGTACAGCGGGGACGGGGGGCGGGGGGCAGTAAAAATAAGCGGCGGGGGCCGGGGGGGACAGAGCGGCAGGCGGGGGGTGGCGCGGGGGGGGACACGGCGGGGGGGCTGCTCCCCACCCCGTGTGGCGACATTGTCTGTGGGGGGAGCGCTGGGGGCCGAAGTGTCCGTCCACGGCGGGGGACCGGGGGGTGCGCGACCCCCCTGGGGGTCCCCCCGCGCCCCCCGCCCCGGCCGGGCACCTCGATTTGGTCGGAAGCTGCGTGGCCGGTGCCCGTCCCCGTCCCGGGGGGTGTCAGTCCGCGGCGGGGGGGAGGGAACCCCTAATCCCCGGGGGGCATGATCCCGGGCGGGGGCAGCGGGGGCGGCCCCGCCTCGGCCCCGTGGACGCGCTGGTGGTCCTTGAGGGACTCCTTGTAGCGGAAGCTGCGGCCGCAGGCCGGGCACTGGTACGGGCGCTCCCCGGTGTGGATGCGCTGGTGCTTGAGCAGGTTCTGCTTGCGGATGAAGCTCTTGCCGCACTGGGCGCAGGCGAAGGGGCGCTCCCCGGTGTGCAGCCGCTGGTGGTTCTGCAGGTGCTCCTTGCGGCTGTAGCACTTGCCGCACTCGGAGCACTTGTAGGGCCGCTCCCCGCGGTGGATCATCTGGTGCCGCACCAGCCCCGAGTGGCAATTGAAGCTCTTGCCGCACTCGGCGCACGGGTAGGGCCGCTCGGCCGCGTGGCTGCGCTGGTGGATCCGCAGGCTCTTCTTCCCGCTGAAGCTCTTCCCGCACTCGGCGCAGCCGTGCGGACGCTCCTCGGCGGGTCCCGGAGGCGCCGCGGGGACCCCCCCGCTCTCGGCGCCCGGGCCCGGCTCGGCGCCCGGAGCTTTGCCCAGTCTGTGCTGCGCCGGCAGAGCCACGGCCGCTGGCACCGCCGCCTGTCCCTCGGGGGTCCCGAAGCCCGGGCCGGGGAAGAGCAGCTCCCCGGAGCCGCCCGGCAAACCCACCTCCTCGGGGGGCTCGGCGTGGGGGCACCGCTCCTCCGTCTTCACCAGCAGCCCCTCGCCGGCTGCAGGGGATGGAAAACGGGTCAGTGCCTACCAGGGATGGCCCCAAGTCACACCCCAGCCTTGTGGGCAGTGTCCCCCCCCCCTGCCCCAGCTCCATCCCAGCCCCGTGGTGGGGTTCACTCACCAGGACCAGGACCCGGGGGCAGCATCTCCCTCTCCGGCAGCTCCCAGGGCTCACGGACACAGGGCTCCTCCTCCTGCTTGATCCACGACAAGAAGTCGTGTGCAGTGATCAGGGCGTCCGCGCCTGCAGGGGGGGACGGGATGGGAACAGGGATTCAGCCACGCCGGGCCATGTCCTGCTCCAGGAGGATGGGGAGGGAACAGCTCCAACAGGCAGCAGTGCCAGGGTGGCTCCACCCCCGGCTCACCTGCACAGGGGTCTGGGGGCATCCCCCGCTCCTCTGGGAACTGCTGCTCCCCCACAAAGGCCACCTCCTGCTTGATCCGGGACAGGATGTCGGAGGTGGAGATCAGCGACTCTGTTCACAAGGAGAGACTTGTCCAGGGCCAGGAAGTGGCCACATGGTGTGACCCACGGCCACCAAGGGTGTGGGACCCCTGGGCTCCAGCTGAGCGGGACTTCCCCATCCCACAGCAGTTATGGGGCATCCAACACGCCCAGGGAGCTGTGGGGATGGGTGACTGTGGGACAGTCCTTGGGGATGGCTGACCCTGAGATGTCCATTGGGGATGGGTGACCCTGAGACAGACGTTGGGGATAAGTGACTGTGGCACAACCCCTGGGAAAAGATGACTCTGGCTCAGCCCACTGGGAACAGGTGACTGTGGCACAGACCATTGGGGATGGGTGACGACAGGGCCAATGGGGCTGGGTGACTGTGGGTGACACAGGCTCTGACACAACGTGGTGGCAGTGGGGACACATGGATCTCCCAGTGATGGATATCCAAGACCCCCAGTACATCAGTCATTGGGATATTCTGGGGTCACTCATGGTAATTCCCAGACACAGCTGGAAAACTGAGCCCAGCGGGGACAGGACCACCGGGGAAGGAGGAGAGACATCCCTGGGGTGGGCAGGGTGGGGGGACAGGAAGTGGGGCACAGTAGGGACGGGGTCCTCCTGCCACTCCTCACCTGCGCAGGCGTCCGGCGGCAGCTCCCGCTGCTCCAGCTCCCGCTGCTCGGGAACACAGGGCCCTTCCCCGCGCTCGCTGCGGGGCTGAGCCTCGCTCCTGGAGAGGGCACCGTCTGTGGGGACACAGCACTGATGGCACCGGGGCTGTGCCCGGCACACCCTCCCTGTCACCCACACTTAGGGGGACACGCAGGGGACACACCGGGCTGCCAGGCCCCGGCACCTCTCCTGGCACAAACCCCACCTAAATCCCACGGGATCTCTACATTGGAGGGTCAAGCCCTTGGTTTTTGGGGATGAGGACCCCCTCCAGCCCCCTGGGGTGGCAGGGGCTGCCCTCCATGGCATGGCATGGCATGACATGGCATGACATATCACCCTGTTCCCTCCAAAATGGGTGGTCACGGGGACACAGCGAGTGCCACCGCCCACGTTGGGGACCCTCCAGGGAGATGCAGCCTGCAAGGAAAGGGGCAAAAGGGAATGTTTACCCAGGGAGAGCAAAGCCTCGTAGTTCTCCTTCACCAGGTTGTTGTACAGCTCCTTCTGCCACTCCTCCAGATTCTTCCACTCCTCCGCCGAGAAGTAGACGGCGATGTCAACAAACGTCACCGGCACCTGCGGGGACACGTCCCCACGGCTCAGCAGCGCCTGCTCCCCAGGGAAACTGAGGGTCTCCCCCTGTCCTGCAGCCCCCCGGGAGCCCTTACCTTGGGGACCTCGCCCCGGGGGCCGGGGGGCAGCCGCAGCACCCAGAAATTCCTGTTCTTCAGGAGGTTCTCCACATTCTCCAGGCGCCTCTGGAGCAGCCCGTACTCCTGGATGAGGGTGCCCAGCACGGCCCACTTGCTCTCCAGCTGGTTCCCGAACTCCATGGCCGTCTTCTCGCAGTCCAGGAGCTTCTTCTCGGCCGTGCCGGAGCGGCCCTCCAGGCTGAGCAGGCGGGTGGCCAGGAGGTCGATCTTCCTCTCCATGGCCTGCACCGTGGCCACCACGGTCCAGAGCGAGGCCTCTGCCGAGTGCAGCTGCGCCTCCCGCACGTGCGCCCGCTCCGGCAGCAGCGGCGGCTGCAGCGGCATCAGGTGAGGGGCTTCCATGTTCCACTCCTGCACCTGCGCCGTGGGGAGGGCACGAGTGGGAGGAGGCCCGTGGTCACTCTGGCGAAGCCCCCGTCCCCCAGTTGTAGGGCTTTCAGCCACCAGCAACCCCAGAACTGCATCATGTGTGATGCCCACTGGCCTGAGGGGATGGTGAGTGGCAGACCAGGGCAGCCATGGGGTCACTGTCCCCGTGGGACACCAGCCAGGTGACTCCCCACCCTGTCATCCCAGACCCCCATCCCGTGGGAGCCATTCCTGGGCCTGCCCAGGCTGGAACCCCACTGGGGGAGGAGGATGGAGACGGGAGGGCAGGGAGCAGCCAGGGGCAGGTGTGGACCAGGGATGCCCAGGGATACCTTGGGGACACACAGGGACATGCCAGGACAGAAGTGCCCGGGGCATCCCGGGGGCTGGAGCCTGCACGGAGCATCCCGGGGCACTGTGGGGCATCCCGGGGGCACGGGGCCATCCGGGGCAGAGGTGCCCGGGGACACGCTGGGAACACACGGGCACCCCGGGTCAGCGGTGCCCAGGGCACCCCGGGGGCACCGGGGCCATCGCGGGTCGGGTCCCTGGGGACATCCCGGGGCTGGAGCCTGTACGGAGCATCCCGGGGGCACGTGGAGATCCCGGGTCAGCGGTACCCGGGGCATCCCGGGGGCTCACGATCATCCCGGGTCAGGGGCGCTCAGCC